CATGTAGTTCCTATTACTCAAAAACTTGATCCACATGCACTAGTGCTACTTCTCGTGACAGATTATTAGTGACATAATGATCAAACTCCCCCACAACCACATTTGTGAGTGGAGATTTTTTATTGTCAGTACCAGAAGTCTCAAAACTCTCCCTCTCTTTCAATAAATCGGATTCATTGAAATAAACATCCCTACTGACAATCATCTTGCATGTTACAAGATCACATAACCTGTAATCTTTCACACCACTAGCATATTGCAAAAAATAACACTTCTTAAATCTAGGATCTAACTTAGTTCTGTGCTATTTTGATGTGAGAGTATAAGCAATACAACCAAAATTTTTCAAATATCAATAATGTTTATACTTTATTTTAAACAACGATGAGAAATTGGTTGCATTAGAAGAATAAAGTTTATGAAATGAACTCCACTGTTGAAAGTTTCAGTACAAAATTTTCATGATAAACTTGATTCGCTTAGCATACTTTGCATCTTTTTCAACACTGTTTGATTGAGACTTGAAAAAACAACATTTTGTTATAGAGTATAAACCTACCTGAAATGGCGAATATTCCTCATGTAAAAATGTTGAAATCACAAGTTTAAATTATGTTATAAATTTAAGATTTTATGTCTAATACAAAAATTTATTACTATGAAAGAAAAATATATTATTTCTCACGGATATAAAAATTATTCTTTGAAAATTTTATTATAAGAATGTGATATTTGTATTGATTAATAAAATATCATTTTAATTAAATTTGGACTATTTTATAATCTCTGTCAATTTTAATACGTCAAATATTTAGAAATGATATTTTTTGATTGAATTTAAATAAATATTTCTGAAATCTATTACAAGTAAATCAATAAAAAAATTAATTACATTTCATTATTTCATGATTATTCTAAAAAATGTTTAAATCATAACAAATACATTTTAAAATGATAGAATAATGTATGAAAAACTTTACAATTTTTATGATATTAAAATATATTTACACAATATATATAATAAGAATATAATTTAATATCGAATGTAAATATGAAATAATATTATTATTATTAAATAAAATATACAATTATCAAATTAAATTAATCATCAAAATAAACATATGGATCAAAAAAATTCAAATATTGAAATAATGATAAAATTATATGATGCTTTCAAACATTCATTTTTTTAAAAAAAATCTTTATGATCGAAAATAAAAATCCTCATCATTGAAATTTATTGCATAAACATTGATATTTCATATATTATTTAATTTGTGGCTGTTAAATGATTGCATAAATATTTACATACTTTGTTATTCATCAATAATTATTTGATTGATTGTATAGATCTATCCACAAATTAAGTAGAAAAAAAAATTAATTTGAAAATCAGATTATTTACTTACAGAGAAAAAATAAGCATGAATAAATTTTCATTTTTTATTTAGATATCCATGCTAATATTATGCGTAATTACATATTTTACTCAAAATAAATATTGATAATTTATTAAATACATCATTAGGCAAAGACAGAAACTCATGTTTCATATGCATTACAAGTTTTTTATTAATGCTTCAATTGATCCAAAGTTTCAAATAACATCATTAAGCATAAAAAATTTCTCTTTAAAATTCCAAAAAAAAATATGAAATAAAAGTTGTAACTAAGATGTTTGTTTGAGAAATTATTTTGTTATAATATACAAAAAAATATTTGCAAGTTTAATCACAAACATAAATAGAAATAACAATTTTTCATCCAACTAATCTAATTGAGTCATATGTCAAACATGTTTTGATTCAAAGCTTTTGATTGATCAAATGCATCTTTTAAAACGTTTTAGATCTCATAGAAAAAATTCCTAATATTAAATTTTATCCTTCAAATTATTTTATATTGTAAAACACACAAAAAACGTGCAATGATTCAAATGATTTGATTCATGATGATTTTTTATCAGTTTTAATTTATTCTTCTTTAATATTTTATTGTAAAAGATATTTTGTATATTACTGAAATTTTATTTAACGTCAAGAAATAAGTATATTTTAGTTAGCAAAATTAATTAATCCAAAATCTTCACAATTAATAATGAAAAGCATATTTTGAAAATTTAATAAAGTCTAATCGATTTCAATTCAACATGTTAAACTAAAATATTCATATGCAACAAAAACTTATGATTTCACATAATTGTTATATTCAAAATTTTAAATTGATCATGATTAAAATTTATTGCATATTAATACTTATATATTAATCATTAAGAAAAATAGAAATCATTTATATAAAAAATTCTCAATTTTAGATTTAATTTCTCGTGCCAAATTAAATTTTAATCCGATAATGTCTTGATTTTATGAATTAATTTTTTTTTTAATTTTTGGGCATTAACAAAACAAATAAAACAATCTAAGGATTCAAAGTATATAATAATGTTTTGTTAAGTCAATTCAATTTTAGATAATTCAGTAAAATAAGAAAATCAACAGCATCCAATCATGTGTTTTTTTAACATGAATTGATGAAATTAATTAGTATTTAAAATAATGAAAAAATTTGAAGGATGAAATTTTTTTAATTTAAATGATATTATTCAAATAATGTAAATGATCAATTTGAGTAGTATATCTCTAATAAACAATTTTTCATGAAGGAATATATTTAATCTTAGAAGTTGAATTGAGTTTCTAAGAGTATTGATACTTACTTATGTGCCAAAGTTATGTTTACGATACATGAAAAATATATCAATTTTCTGAATTATGTTCAATTTTCAACAGTAATAAAAATGATTGAATGTTAATTTGGAGATCATATGATCGAAATTTACTTCTTGAAAACTCATTGTTGACTTGATAATTGATGCAATCATATCAATAGAATATCAATACTATGTTTAATAAGAATGCAAGTCAAATGTTGGTTTTGTCAATTTGCTTCTTGTTGGAGATTTCACTCAAAAAAAATTGAAATTTCAAAGAAAACAGTGTGTACAAAAGATGAGCATCATCTTTTATCTAAACTTTCACTGCCATATCAATATATTTGGAGTATAACTTGTATTGTTATTGTAATGTTCTAGTTGAACTTTCATCTGTAACTGTTTGTAATTTCAACTATATATTTTAATATATCTTTAAACAATGCTATATACTAACTATATTTGCATAACATATTTCACACACTGATTGTTCATGTCTTCAATTACATCTTTGAACATGTAAGTTTTGTATGAAATAGTTAGAAACTTCCACCAAGAGTAAGAGAACTGCAGTAAATGAGGTGAAAAAAGCTTACATGTTTCACACGGGTAGTTTTGGTGCTCTAACTGATTGATTTGAAACTTTTATCCTTTATATGTTTTAGTAATTACATTGTTATCCAAATCTAGATAGTATTGAAAGATAAATAGCAGCAGAACACCACCTCGTATTACAACTAGCTTCTCTTGTATCTTCTATTGCTTCTGGCATCAATGCCATTGTGGACATTTTGAGAATTGGAAATAAATTTGTGTACAAATCTGTTGATTAAGGATTTGATTTCCTTGTTTTAATGAAGCTTAATGTGGCCACAGTGATTGATGTGAGAGTAAGTTCGTGACAGCACAAGCAAAGTCCTCGCTTGAGTCGACCGCATATCAACTTGTCGTTCCGTGGAGTTACCATATATATACCTGCAAACTGTAAATCCGAATGTAAGGAACTATTGCGTACATCCAAGTACTTCCTCATACAGAGCTCTGTTTCGCATTCGAATATGTTTGTAACATCCATGAGACCCTACTCTTCAGTTCTCTCTCATTATTTCTTACTTCCCATTCTCATTTTGTTTCATGAGTGATGAGTGACAGGACGGACGCCTTTCTCTGCAAACAATATAAATGTTGGAATTGGGCAATCTGTACCTCATGCATTGCTTTCATACAGAGCTCTGTTTCGCATTCGAATATGTTTGTAACATCCATGAGACCCTACTCTTCAGTTCTCTCTCATTATTGCTTACTTCCCATTCTCATTTTGTTTCATGAGTGATGAGTGACAGGACGGACGCCTTTCTCTGCAAACAATATAAATGTTGGAGGTGAGGAATCTGTACCTCATGCATTGCTTTCGAAGATTCAGCACCTATACATCGCTACCGTGGAATTTTTTGAATAGAAGAACTTGGAAAACAAATTGGGCCCTTCTGAAGACTAGGAGTGCATATACCACACGCAGACAACACGTTTCATTTGGCACCGTGGCGGTTGAAGTGGGCTCCGCCGGGAGGTGATCCCGACAGGCTTGGACAGATGTAGGCACCTACACGGCCAGCATTGCTTCCATTAAACTTGTGCAAACTCGTCATTAGACCTCGCGATTGTTCTCCGCCTTTCACGTCAGACAGTTCTGAATCGAGTAGGCCATGCGATCTGCCACGCATAGGGGTTCCGGAGAGCGGATATTGTTCCACTTTCCAGTCTCCAAGTCCACGAGAGTTGGTTGGTGGACGCAAGGAGACAATTTCGAACATGACACCGAGAAATTGTTGCTCGTGGTTTAGTGGCTACAAAGTTTCGAGGCTCACGTCAGTTCAGAAGTCCACTCCGTGTCCAGTTGCGACCACGGTGAGAAGGGCGGCTCCACCGACGCCACGCATGACGTGCTTGCTGCCATCGGCTAGTAAGGCCCTCGTAATTGTTTCACTCAACTCCCATAAGCGACAGTCTGCAGACAATGGGCCGTCAGGAGCATTCCACGGGGTCTCTCCCCAAGTTTTTCACATGGACGGGACATCCGGCTCGAGAGGGGAAGAGGGTGTCGCCTTCTTCCTCAACCCGATTGTCGGGTGTTCACACCGGTGAAGGAGAGATGGAATCGAAGATCAGGACGATGAAGCCCATCGCAAGAGTTGCGATTCCATGATCCGGTCAGCGAGTCATATGAGCGTGAGCAGGAAGACATTCATACATCACACACGAGCTCGACCCAGAAACAAGCCACGGGTGAGGCAATCAACCGCTACAGAGATAAAATTTGATGGAACATTTTTATCCAATGAATGATGTCAGTCTATAGCGAGAACGGATGTCTCGCGGTGATTACCTTTCCACGTCGTTCAAAGCTCAAAAAAGAAAGACGTGCAATTGATATTTTTTGATTTGCCCGCTTCCGGTTTCTTGACTCCGTTAACTGGTGTTTTCTACAAGGATGGAACTAAAGGTTTATTCCGTGATTCCGAAGTCTATCAACAAAAATCTGCTGACGCTCTCTGCCCAGGCAGAGGAAACTGTCCTATCTGTGGTCATCCGACTACACAACTACATAAGATGATGATTACACTACGTGTCTCGCATATGTACGACCTTTTTCGCTCCAAAGCACGTCCGTCGGTGGTGTCATATAGTGTTACAATTAAGTAAGTGAGGAGGTTTGTATCATGCATACAGAAGTTTAAACTGGCACAGGCGTGGCCGAAGGAGAGATTTCGTACTTCTTAGCCACATCCTCAGCAAAAACACGTGCCCATTGATCGTAGTGAATAATCTCTTCAAGTGAAGGACGCAACACCAACTCTTGCCTGTGCTTGTCGCAGGTACTTTCAATGACTTTGATGATGTCCAAGTAGCCAATTCTGCACCAAACATTTCCTCATCCATAAGCTTCACACCAACCGAAACAGAACATTCGGGACAGACCAACCTACTAACAAGAGAGGCGAAGTAAGCAACACTTAATGCTCTGATGGTCTTCGGACAAACGTCGTCTACCTCTCGTCCAAAAATAGCTCGACAGCTTTCTCGTTCGCTGCACTGAGGACCCCAGTCATGGTCCCACCTGCCCGACCAGCAGCATATGAAATATCCATTGCTGGGTACTTCGCCCGGTCTGGAGCCTTGAATGTTAGGGAGCCCATCCTGCAGAGCCACTTGTTCGTTAGCAACAGTGATATCAACAAGCCACAAAACATGTACAGGTCATGTGAAATAGCGATTCGAATATCCTTTTGAATCTAGAATCGCGCCATGTCCATCCATAAGAATTGAGTTCAATGTCATAGATGCAAGAGCTTCCAAGGACGTCGAACACTCGACACTTCTCCCTTCTGGTCAGGTCAGTCAGGCGCTGGTTGTCCGTTCTAGCCTATCTAAACAACCGACTCCAATGAAACTTTGAGTTGGTGACAGAACGTACTTCACGAAATCAAGGCGGGGCCAAGTGCTCTCCGAGCAAGAAACACGTTCAGGCCATGACAAGGTATAAAGAATAGGTAACCTCATATCTGGCCATCCCATCTGGCCAAGGACAGAAGAATCCTGCAGACAAATAAAACCAAGAAAATAAGCAGCTGCATGCTTAAGATTTTACTTTTGAATTGGCATATGAAAGCAGCTCAACTGGATAGAACACCAAACTACGGATTTGGGCGAGTGAAGATTCCAGGGAAAATAGAACGCTGTCTTTTAAAGGTCCACTTCTCCAGTAGATTGTGTACTCAACTGCTGAGCATGACTCATTTAAGTGGGTGCATGAAATTTGAAGACAAACCGTACGAAAAAAAATTTGGAGGTGAAGGTGCTCTACAAATCCATGTGCGAGAATACAATTCGTGCATAAATGCATATAACAGGAGGAAACGGGAGTTAAGAACGTTCACAGCTATAGAGTAAAATCTTACCTGTGTTTCGACCATGGAATGGACGATCGATTGCGGATGGATGACTATCTCGATGTCATCGTACTCAGCTCCGAAGAGGTAGTGAGCCTCAATAACTTCCAAACCCTTTTGAAAGTGGAACACCGTATCAGGAAGACCGGGACAGGGACATACAGGAAGAACTCTTGCGGCAGCACTCCCTTGCAACATTCACAAGAACAAGGTCCATCTCACAAGCATAAAGACAGCACTATATACCTTATTCATCAGAGTGGCTGAGTCAACAGTGATTTTCCTGCCCATGCTCCAGTTTGGATGTTTCAGAGCATCGGCCACCTTGACGTCTTTCAATTTCTCCACAGGCCAATCCCTACAAGATGACATCCGACATCGGTTGTGTCATATTAACATCATAGTAGGGTTTACATCCAGAAGCTAAAACCCTGGACAGTCAAGTCATTCATTTCAGCATACTCAGTAACAAGCGTTTTACTCATTTGACAGAGAAGCAGGAATCTACAATTCATACCTAAAGGCACCCCCAGATGCTGTGAGGATGATGCGTCTCAGTCCACCTTCTGGCAAACCTTGAATACACTGGAATATCAAACACATGCTCATCAGAAACGTGATATCGGACAAGTACAACACAAGTCAGGCACACGTTTACGTCACTCGATAACTACACAAGGATACAAATTGTAGAAGAGAATTTGAAAATGTACCTGAAAAATAGCTGAATGCTCGGAATCGGCAGGCAAAATTTTGCTGCCATATTTCTTGGCAAGGGGTAGTACATAAGGACCTCCGGCGATCAAAGTTTCCTTATTTGCTAAAGCTATGTCTTTTCCTGCTTCGATAGCTGCAACAGTGGGCTGGACGAACAGAGAGTCGTGATTAGTTTTCAAAGTGAGAGTCGCTTACAATGGACAAAATAATCGTACCAACCTTGCACACTGGGGATTAATGAACAAAATCCTCTCTATTTCAACAAAATGATTATTAAGAGGATCGGAGGGTAATAGCCAACCTTCAGACCAGCACAGCCGACGATTCCAGTGACCACTGTGACGGCTTCGGGATGTTGGGCAACCTGTAAACTCTCCACATTTTCAGATTTAGACAACAACTCAGCACGAAGTGCCACAGGTGAACAGAATTCAATACATGGGCGACAAAGAGGCAGGAGAAAAGTGGTGTAGTTCCCTGATACATTATCCCGACATGCTCAATGACAAGAACAGTATCAAAAGGCAAACAATAAACAAGACATCAGGTAGCCGAGCATGAAGAAGGGTAACAAGTGAGGACGTCTGATTCGCACCTCTACAATCCCAGAGTCACCGACCACGATCTCGGGCTGAGGGTAAACATCGGCAATAGCTTCCTTCAGCTCGGCAACTCGGTCTCCATGACGCACACAAACCAAACTGGGTTTGAACGTCCTCACCTTCAATTCAAATAAAGCCATCCCAATCTTACTTCTTAGTCACTTTCCGACAACAAAGTAAACAAATATAGAGACCATTTTGTGATCTCAAACGGTATTGATTCCTCAATCCGTAGGACTGCAGACTCGAGATCACACATTTTGCGTCAGCAAACTTCCACCGATATGCTAGAAACCTTCGAACCAGTTCGGAGGTTTACCTGATCAGCTAGCAGAGTAATATTGGAACCAGCGGCTAGTGCGACCACCCTGAATTTATCAGGGTTCTCACGAACGATGTCCAGAGTCTGCGGTCAATAGAAACACGGCCAAAGCATCAGCAGGATCCAATTGTTGCCCCTCGTTTTCAGCAGAAATATCGCGTTGACCCGTTGTGGGAGGTTTACTCATGTGCTCCCGAAGAAAAAAGTTCCTCCTAGCTTAAAAACGACCACAATCGAGCGTATGAAATAAATTGCTCATTTAAAAACTGCAACCCCAAACACAAGTTCCTCAATGCCATGCTGGAGTTTCTGTGTGCTAAAACCAACTTCGTTCCTTATTCTGAAAAACAGGTCCAATAAGAAAAACCTCGGCTGATACAGGTCGGTTCACAAGCGCGAACCAGATGCACACAGGTCTCCAGAAATTGCCCTACCTGGGTACCAATAGACCCGGTAGACCCAATGAGAGAGATGGGTTTGGGTCCAGTATAATTTTTTTTCACTCCGTCGTCTACAGCTCTTCCAGGCCAAGCAGGAGGAGGTCCATTGGAAGAACACTGCACGCCTTTGCCAGCAGTGGAGACTCTCGACGATTTTCCCCACGTGCAAGCGCCTGAATGAACACGTTACGACCGGTTAAACCTGCCAAAGAATCCTTCAACTTCTCCATCATTTCAAACACAACGAGGTAAACAGAGCACAAGGAACGAAGCCCTGGTTCCAAACTACGCCTGAGCGAGAGATGAAACGCACGAGGACAGCGGGTCGTGCTTGACATGGGCGAATTCCATTCTTTTCGAATCAAATTCCAGACAGTGGGGGAAACCCAGTCTTAAGTGACAATCTCCAGACTTTCCCAAACATGGAACGACATGTACCTGCTAACTTGGTACCGGAAAAGGATGGCATATCCGACGCCCTCAGACTAAGCTCGGTCTGCACATGAAAACGAGAATTCTCAGCACTCCTGACGTGTTCCGACGACCACCACGACGTCGTGAAGAAACAATAAGTCCCTTAGCGAAAATTGGGCCCGACGACACTCACCGCGCTTCGCCGAGCAGAAGGCAGAAGAGAAGAAGCGGGCGAAATGCCCGCCATAGCAGCGGCCTCGAGACCCATTCCGACGAATTCTCCAAAACACAACCACGCTGCACAGAGCACACCTCGACTCCAATCGACACCACGAGCACAATGACACAGCTCCTGCGCAAGTGTCCGCGCTATCTCTCCCACACCATGGGACCCAAATGCCGCACACCTCCAACTAGCACTCTCCAATCGCGCCGCCTATCCTGCAACAACAATCCGCGACTCCGTCCGCTGGCACCGCGACCCCCAAGCAATCAAGCAAGACTCCCACGCGCTCCTGCTCCTGCTCCTCCTCCTCCTGCTCCAGCTCCAGCTGCTCCGACCCCGACGCGGAGTTGGTCTGCTGCAGGGACTCTCGGAAAGCAAGGCACGAGCGCTGCTGCTGCGACGAGCGCTGCTGCGTCGTTGCGCCTGCGACATCCAGTCGCCAGCCGTTCAACAAATGGCAGTCCTGCGAGGGATTGCCTTCGGCCATCGCCTTGCGCGCTTTGTCGTCTCTGTCCCTGTGCGGGATTATCCCATTATTCTTTTTCTTAATTATTATTTCGCTTATTCTAAGGCCATTTCCTTTCCCGGGCGGGCGACTGTCGTGCCCTGCACATGTCTGTCTGTCCGTCTGTGCCTTGCGCAGTCAACCTCCCGTGCCACCGTGGCACAACGTGGTTTGAACCTTCCCTCCTCTCCTAACTCTCCAGCTGACCTGACCTGCTTCCTCCCGTCACCCCCCGCTTGCACGTGTTTTCCCTTGGCGGCCAATTTTCTATTTTCGCGTGAATTTTCTTTTCTTTTATTCCACGCCCTCGTGCTTTGTACGGTAAACCAAATCATGCCCCGAATTTATCATGCGCTATCTACCCCTTGGCTAGCTTTCAGCCCCTTCCCTTCTCTACGCTTAAGGCCTTTCTTTCCGAACAGTGTTTGAAAAATCGGAAGTTATACTATTTTTTATGATAGTATAATCTGGGCATTCCATGAATGCAATTTGACATAGCGCCTTGGAGTCGTGGGTACTTGACTTCTTTGTGTCGTGTTCTTTTCTTCCGGCTTGGTTTCTTCATTCCTCCGAATCATTCTGTGATATTTATGGATACTTACGCCTCTCGATGTAATATGATAAGAATTTGTACATTCTGGGATATTTAAAAAACGAGAAACCATTCTATAGTACCAAAACACACTTTCTCAGAATCAAATATTTGTACACAGTATACATGTAGTCATTTCTTGTATATACTGGAGACAAGTGCCTAGATAGTATGAGTAAATTACTTGATGGTACCCCTTGGAAACTCTATCCTCTTGAAATGACCCATCAGGTTTCATTTTACCCGAGGGGAACTATTCTAGGACCAACCGTGACCCATGTTCTTATACCGTACTGATTTGCTCTATAGAGTGGGGAGTGTAATCCACTGTCGGGCCACAGTATTTTGGCGAACTAGTTTGCAGCCATGTCTAAGAAAATGAAGTGCACCATGAGTCCGAATTACTCCGGATATATAGTCTTGCCGTGACTTTATGTTCTACTCGAAATAACCCCAGATAGTATTGGAACATCATTGACGGTGGGTTGTAACGCCGTCGATAGATCCAATGGGTAAAATGAAACCTGTTTTGTCCCATCAAGTGTTTTGAATTTCCAGTCAAGTTTATGGTGTAATTAAGATTCTATCCTATATCAAGATACATGTAATAATGTACTATGTTTATGGGTGCTTCTTTCTTATCTCCTCCTGCAATAAAAGTGAAGTACACTGCTACCATACTTCCAATTTTCTGAAATAAGAGCATGGCCCATCCCATATATATTCCCTGCTGGAGCGTCAGGTTTTGGACTTTAGATCACATTTTCTCTATACCACTTTGAGTTTTCTTCCCTCTCATTTTCCTCCATTTTGATTGGAACTAAATTCCCTCTCCTTCCTTTGGTCATAGAGAGTAAGCCCCGGTAGAAATAAAGTAGATATGCATGTACCTATGCGAACTTCACCAACTGGAGAAATTTATGCAATCTGTTAAGAAAGGGTGCACTGGGTTTAGACATCAATCTCTTTCGCCAAAATAGTGCACAGGAGCAAGACGAAACAGAGGATCTCGATTGTCCGAGATTCGTGCGAAGAGTCAAGAAATAGAGCCCAATTTTATCAATATGCTTCACAATGGCTGAGGTAGACAAGAAATAAACCCAATGCTCCAAATATTCAGAAGATTTCTGTAGGTTTTCCGCAATTATTTATATGCTTTGCTTGACGTACACAGTACAAGCTTCATCGCCACAGTCCAGATTCCGGAACCTTTTATCCTCTACATGGAAGTCATTCATCACTCACGCAAGGGGGTTGACGTTTTCATTATGCTACTCATTATGCTCTCGACGTCAACGGAACACACACAATCTTCCTTCTCACTCATGCTTTACGTTAGTGCACGGTTGCGAAGGTCGCTTGGAGTCGGAACCATATGGAAAGCCCAGCTTCACGAATCTCGATTCGGTCCTGATCTTCTGGTCAGATTCTGGCGCGATGAACTTGAACATTTGGCCAGCGACACAACAATTGAGTATCAATCATTCACCACCCACAAGTCTCTTTGACTAATTGTGTAAATTACAAGACTATTCTCAAAATCAATGGAAGCATGGCTCCGATGATGCTTCTGAACAATGACATTTGGTCAAGTAATCAGTTTTCCAGGCGTACTTATATAGACAAATGAGTTCTTCGATCTGAGATGTCGAGAGTCAGTTGGCCCACGGACGTATGAGCAATTGATTCATGCAGAATCATCTTATGAGCAGAAGTCTTATCTTGCGAAATGAAGTCCTTCACGAGTTTCTTTTTCAACGCATAAAGACTTTAGCAGAAGAATTTTATACTTGGCATTGTTGAACAATTTCCAGGCACGCCTGATCGTTATTAGTGAAGTGAATAATCATCACGACAAGTCACAGTGCCATTATTGTTCACAAGTATCACCTAAACAAATGTATTATGATTACACTCCATACACTGACCACACTGAATAAATTAAGATTAAGGATGGGAATGTCCCATAAGTCCCTTCGTAAACGAAACCAAGAGTTTAAAATCGAGCTTGATCATGGTAGCATCATTATGATAAATGTATCTTATTTCAGTTCATATATCTCAACTATCTACAACAAAAATTCATCATATGACCCAATAGCTTTATATGGAGTCAAAATAGTATGATAACATCAATTGACACCAAATTTATTCCAAGATTTTAAATTTTACTACAAATATACTTTCTCATCAACTTCTTATGCTTAAATGAACTTTGGATACGCAGATTTGTTTACATGAGATTTTTGAACAATTTAAAATATACCCAAAAAATTGCGATGAATTTGATATACACGATTCGTTCTATGATAAATCGATTATTTAAGGTCCATACCGGTGGTTACTGGGAGTCCTTTTGCTCATCACACTACAATAACCTGTGAAATATAGACAAAAATGGACTGTTCAAACTTTACATGTCACGAGCTTTATATGCTTTAACTTGAGACCTACTGGCGTGACGAGGAGTAAAGTTCAGGGAGGCCAAAGAGACTACTCTGCACCGAGACGCCCACATGTAATCACAGCGAAACAGTTTACATGAGACAAAACTTTGTGTATCGGGTGCAAATCATCGCAAAGATATATCTTAGAATCTGTAAGACATAAACAGTTCTTAAGACTATATTTTTTAATTAATATCTTAGAAAGGAATAGAAGGGCACAAAAGATTAATATTAATGTGAGAAAGAAAGCCTTAGTATTGAATACATCTGATGATATCGAGTCAGGTACAAGAAATTCCGACTCGCTTAGTTGCACAAACTTTTACAAACGGCCGTACTGCCAGGTGTAAGGGATCTCAGTTTCTTTCTCCTCTTTCTTTCTTTCTTCAGGCTCCCTTGGGGCTGCCCCAAGTCAGCCGGATTTTATCTCAGTTTTGGGAACGGGGAGGCGGGGCACTTTGCGGGGAGGGTCGGCGGACCCTACATTCCGGCAACCATGTAGAAGCCCTCAACCGGATGAAATTCCAACAACCATGTAGAAGAGAGGCCGTCACTGTAGAGGCTGCAACGTTGTATTTAGTGCGTTGCAATCATCTACGCCGTAACAATGATTGTGGTCGTGTATTGGAACGTTGCGGGAACTAAAAACTAAAACTGAACCGCAAGAGGGATAGCTCAGATGGAATCCCTAGTGTTCAAACTGTAATATTTGTAATCAAACGGTGATAACATATTGAGGCGACGAAATTTTAAGCGGCAAAGATTAGGGTTTTTAAAAATAGTATCACATCGATATTCTCCAGCTCGTCGTTTCGACGTCGCTTTTGGGTGCCAGTGTCATTGCTTTGAGGAGCTCGTGCCAGAGCTCATGCTTTTACTTTTCTTGTCATTTCAGGTGCTTTTTGCAGGTGTGGTGACAGCATGGAGGCAGGATGGATTGTGGAGGACCCACCTTATGATGGGTCTTTCAATTCATTAATGTTGAATTGGTCAAATGGGACGGCCTACATCAAAAGCTCGAGGCTTAACGATTTTGTTTCGGGAGAGGTATCTTGTTATAGTGATGCGAAGACAGAATTTGTGACACGTTGCTCATACAAAGGTGGAGGTACCAGGCACAATTGGGAATCGTGTGCAATGTATTATTGCAAGTATGGTACTCCAGAAAGGGGCAAGAAGAGTATGCTTTCCTCGAATTTTATTCAAGATCCATCAACAAAGGCAAAATTTGGTCCTGGCAGCAGGGATAGACTAGATCATGATTCGCATCACAAGGGCTATCAGTGCAGGTTTAGTGCCATTAAACTGCTGTCTAATGATCACATTCCACCAAGAATCACGAAATTGATATACAAGCATAGAAGACACGTATATGCTGCAAGTCTAGCTTGTCATGGCACAGCGTGTTCGGATAGTGTTGGCTTGCCATCTCAAATGACGCACAATTTATCCTCTAATTGCAGGTAACGGCATATTTGTTACATTTTCAATGTATTTATTTATCGTTCACAGTCAATCTCTCGTCATATTTGTAATATCTACAATAACTTTGTTGTTATTACAGTTTGTAAAACTTTGACACTAAACAAGCACGTTGTCTAATATTTTCTACGTTCTTTCGCCAGGGAGTGGGTTGAATGCGAGTTAAGAAGAGGTTTAACTCCTCCACAAATTCTCATGCGTGCTGCAAAAGCACTGTTTGAAAATCATCAGCGCTTAGGCTATGTGCAAGGGACCCCTATTAGAGATCATTATATCACATCTGCTGATGTGTATAATATCAAATTGGAACTGGACAAAAAAACTTGGAGAAGGCATGCTAATGATAGAATTAGCACAGAATTATGGATGAAAGCGAATTCATCTCAAGTTGTTTTGTATCAGGCACCAAAAA